GACCGGAGTGGGGAAAACGACCACCTGGCCACAGCTAACGATCCCCCTGGAGAGGGAGGATCCTGAAACTCACGGAACGGAGATAACGATTCGGGCATCCAAGACTGGGGTGTGTGTGCGGGGGGGGAAGGCCTGGCAGGAGAGTGATGCGGAGCCAGGAGAGAGCACCGAAACCGAAAGTGGAGCGAAGGCAAAAGAGAGAGCACTCTTCTGGGTGTTCTTACCTATATACTGGGCATGACGTGCATGTTATGGAATATCATTGGCTATTCTGAGTTTCAGTCTCAACATAAGGGCAAATCCTATGCTAGCAACCGGCTGTGCCTCTTTGCTCGTCTGCTGACCTTGGCAGCAGAACAAAACATCGGTCTTATCAGCCTGAGCCTAAATCCAAAACACAGCCTCTTGCTAGCTATTTATGAAGAAGAGGGAGAAAAAGAAAAACAAACAGAGTTAACTTCTTAAGCAGTCTGCGCTTAACCCACGACAGTGAGAAGCAGAAATAACAACAAGTTTACCAGGATAGCTTTCAGGTGTGTTAATCTAGAGGTGAAACTACACTAGATTCCTAAAGAGAAGTGAGACGTGTGCCAGAGTGAAGACCCAGCTGTGATTTCCACAGGAGAGAAGAAGGGCATGGTCAGGGCCCCTGCCACAGCCAGTATCCTGGGTGTGCCATGGAGCTGTCTTTGCAGGTGATTTATCACAGAAAGCTCTCATTAGGCCCTACAAATTCCACTCTACTACACACTACCTGGAGAACAAGAAAACATGTCACTGACCTTCCTAAGCTGATGTGAGTGGAATGTTGTCTCCGTCTCACATCTAGAAAGTTGCTCACTTACTGAAGGAGCAGGAATCTCATTGGTGAAGACAGTTTTCTTATGGAAGCATCAGATATGATTTATTTGGATCTGCTGGCTGGTTTGATTTCCGTATCCTTCCTGAGAGAAAGATTTTCCCCAGTGTTCTTCAGATGGCCTTTTTCATCTCAGTGTTTCTCAGCATGCAGCTCATCGAGTTCAGCGTTGGAGTGACCACAGTATAAACAATGGTGGCCACCTTGTCCATACGGATTTCTTATAAGGCTGAGCATAGATGAAGATGCAGGGGATGAATATTAAGATCACAAAGGTTATCTGGGTTCCATAGGTAGATAGGGCTTTCTGCTTCCCTTCTGTGACATGTCCTTATCTTCAGCAAGATGATAGTGTAAGAAATAATCAAGATTACAAAAAGAATAATGAGAATCACTCCACTATTAAACACCGTCTGTAGTTCAGCCATGGAGGTGTCAGTGCAGGCCAGTTTGATGACTTGAGGGACATCACAGTAGCAATTGTCCAGTACATTGGGATCACAGAAAGGCAGCTGGAGAAGAAAAACCAGTTTGTATAGTAGAGTGAACATATGCACTGAAGCATTTAATTACCACGAATCCCATGCTCATGATCCAGTTCATGATAGACAAGTAACGCAGTGGCTCATAGATGGCCACATACAGATCAATCGTCATCCCTACAAGGAAAAAAGCCATCGCACAAGCAATGAAATGTGAGAACATCTGGAGGAAACGCTCGTTAAATGAGATCATCGTGCGCTGGGTGAGGAGGCTTGACAGCAGTTTGGGGGTATTGACTGATGAATCACCGGACATCAAGGAAAGCCAGGCTGGCCAGGATGAAGTACATGGGTGTGCAGAGCTGGTGATCAGCAGCTACAGTTGCAATGATGTTCACCAGCCAGGTTGTCACATAGATGAGAAAGAAGGTAACAGAGAGACAATACTGCAGCTTGCGACTCTGGGTCAGGGACAACAGGAAAATTTCTGTCACAGTGGTGATGATGTTGTTTGATGCCATTCTTTATCCCTGCACCAACAACAGCAATAAAGACAGTTATAATTATGTACTGGAATGTAAAATCATAGAATCATAGAATTGTAGAATAATTTAGGTTAGAAGGGACTTCTGGGAGTTATCGTCTCACTGTGTGGACCAGTTCAAGTATATGGCCGTCTCATGGAAAAAAAAAGAAAGAAAAAAGCGACCAAGAAAAATCCCTTATATTTAGTCAGAATTTAATGTTCCAATTAGTATGTGCTGTCTTTCATCCTGTTGCTAAACACCTCCAGGAAAGGTCTGGCTCTATCTCCTCTGTATCCTTTATCTCATCAGCTAGTGACAGAAGTAAGGTCTCCCCTTAACCTTCTCTTCTCCTAAGGATAATCAAATCCAGTTCTCTCAGACGCTCCTTGCATGTCATGTGCTCCAGCCCAGTGGTTAGTTTTGGTGGCCCTCCAAGGAACTCACTTCAGTATATCACTGTCTTCCTTGTCCTGGAGAGCCCTGGACTGGACACAGTACTGCAAATGGGGCTCACAAATATTGAATAGAGAGGTCAGATCATTTCCTCGACCTAGCTGGCTTGACCCTTGCTAACAGAGCACTGGACGTATGTTGCCTTCTTTGCCACATGAACACATTGCCATCTCCTATTCAGCTACCTGTCTACCAGAGTCTTTTTCTGCAAAGCTGCTTCTGAGACAGTCAGCCACTAGCAGCCTCTACTGATTGCACAGGATGGTCCTTTCCCTGATGCAAGATGTCGTTTTACTTTTGTCAAACTTTATGGTGTTCATGCCAGCCTATTTCTCCAAACTGTCCTGGTCCCTATGAATATCAGCCCTGCCATCCAGCATACTGACTGCTTTCCCCATTTGGGTGTCCTCCACAAATGCACTGAGAGAACATTGCATCCCATCATCCAGCTCATTAGTAAAGACATTAAACAGTATTGGCCACAGTACTGATCCCTGATGGACACCACTAGATACTTCTTACCAGCTGCACTTCACACTACTGATATCCACAGAAAGCTGTGAAGTTTGTTGGACATGATTTGTCCTCAGGATATCCATTGTAACTCTTCCCAATTACCTTCTTGTCCTACATGTGTTTAGCAATGAGGCCATGATCTTCCCAGGGGCTGAGGCGAGACTGATCAGCCTGTAGTTCCCTGGATCCTTCTTCTTGCCATTTCTGAAGATAGACGTGGCATTTGCTTATTTCCACTCATCGGGAATCTCCCTCAATTGACATTTTGAAGATGATGGAGCACAGCCTTGCAGTGACATGAGCCAGCTCCTTCAGCACTGCAAGATGAATCCAATCTGGTGCCATTGACTTGTGCAGGTCTGATTGACTTAAGTTATCCTTATCTCCTTCAGCCATGGGTACTGTTTCATTAGCTCAGCTAGAAAGCTCAGGAACCTAAGAGGCCTGAGGGCAAAGCTTACTATGGAAAACTGACGCAAAAAGGCATTGAGTAAATCAGTCATTTCCACATCCCTTGTCACTAGGCCCCCAACTCCATTAAGCAATGAGACCACATTCTCCTTAGTCTTCCTTCTGCTGCCAATGCACTTTGAGAAACATTTCTTCCTGCCCTCCACCTGCCTTCAAGGTTCAGCTCCAGATGAGCACTGACTTTTCCTGACTCCCTTCCTATATAGGCAGACAATGTCTTTGTGTTGTTCTGAAGTAGCCTGTTCCTGCTTCTACTTTCATTTAGGTCCTTTTTAGTGTTAGAGCTGCTGGGATGTCCCTGTCCATCCTTGCTGGCCTTCTTTTACACTTGCATGACTTACTGCAAATTTGAATGCATTCCACTCTGAGGAGGCTGACACTGAAGAACAGTTTTCCTGTGCCCCTTTACTCCAGTGCAGTTTTCCTTGGGATCCTCTCAAGCAGGCACCTGAACAAGCCAAAATTTGCTCTTCACTGTGGTCAGGCTACTGCTTGTTAGACTCCATGGACAGTATGGTTTACCTCAGTCTCAACCCTGATATCTTTCCAAGTTCTGGTAATTGTTCCTTACAGTAGATGATGATAAAGATCTCTGTATCACAGTCATTTTTCATGCTTCTTTTCAAATAAACGGCATGAGTTAAAATCACAGAGATGGTGTTTAAGGTTTCAGAAAAATAATGTTAAAATATCCAATGAGTTTGGAGACACTGTGAGGAAGTTCTAAGACAAGAGGGCACCTCCCCACCTCACTGTCCCCAGATGACTAAAGCCATTTCCCTGATGGACAGTTACTGCCTTTATTTACTTCAGTTGAAAAAAATAAGTAATTTCTTATAAGGAAAATCATATATACAATAAACCAGGACTTTTTTTCTTTTCCCCTACAAACTAGTATTTTATTCCCAAAATGGAATTTCAGAGAGCTGTAGAGACCAGAACTTTCTGCATTTTTCTGTTACCTTTGGTGAATACTATGCAGGGATTCTGTAATTTTTTCCCATCACAATGAGCTCCTTAGTGTCAGTGAACAATTGCCTTCTGAATCCTTAAAAGCATATTCCTATTTTCTGCTTGCTAATTGTGTTTTTTTCCACAGACTGAAAAGGAAAGCCACTTTTGGTATGAACTCCTGTTTTGTAACAATCCACGGCTAATACTGTATAGAGATTTCTTTGTTTCCATTTTCTGTAAAAACATAATATTTTTGCAGAAGTATGGGGGAGGGAAGAGAAGGCAATCTGCTTTCAATTCAAACCCAGCCTTTCTCTTTTGCCTCAGTAATGTCCCTAGCATAAGACTAAGATCAAGCTCTGGTAAAAATCTGAGAGACAGAAATGCTGTAAGACAGCTGTCAACGGTGCAGCATAGACTGTCTTCCTTCAGACCTGTCCCAGCACATGAGTAGTGTCTCTGAAGCTGTCTCCTGTAAGTAAAATATAAGTGGTTAGCAAGCATTTTCATGTCATTTTCCTTTTCCCAGTGATACTCCCTTTCCTCTGTATATACACTGTCATTGTCAGTGTGTGAAATTAGTCTTGTTTTCAGGTTTTTTGGCAGAAAGATTAATAACCTCCAGCAACCTCCTGGTTCTGTCATCCCTCTTCACAAAAGCTCCTAGATGTCATTGTCAAGTTACAAGATAATACAGTGCAGCTCTACTCAGAAGACCAGGGGATGCAAACCTGCCTTCAGTAGAAGACTCCAGCAACCTTCCCTTATAGGATTCCTGATGCCTGTGTTAAGTCTGAACTAATTATCTCAGCTCACTCTGTAGTGAACGGAGAGAAGCAGCCAACACTAGTGGGCAGTTCACCGGAGATGAGCCTACCTTGGTGAGGTGCCTGTCCCATTCAGGAGCACCTCAAGGGTTGCTGTTCTCTAGGATGACTGCACTGGGCTGTCAGACATGGCATAGGGTCATCCAGAGACACACAATCAGCTGGGGCCACAGATGGGTGGCCAGGTGTGTGTCCCACAACACAAATAAGGCAGTAGCTGCCTAGGCTGAGGTTACTGAATTGTATTGTTAAGCTCATTCCTCAGCACTGCACTACAGCCAGAGGAGATCTCATCATGGCAGTAGCAGGCAGGAGTCCTCTCTTCCTGAAAGAGCAGTCTAAAGGAGAGTCAGAAGTGGAGGATCCCCAAAGGCCTTATTTCACCAACCTGCTTTAAAGGTATTATGCTGACAAGCTCAGATGTAGACAAATGTTCTGTAGACATCTGAAAACAGAGGAGAGGACTTCCTCTGAGGTGACTAACTTAGGCAAAACATGTTCCTGCAGATAAACAAGTGAGTGAAATTCAGTGCTGGGGTTCAGAACAAGCAGTGTTCTTCCAGGTGTAGGTGTGCACAGGCATAGCTGAGCTGGGGTGTTTGGAGGAGCAATGTGTTCCTTTAAAACAAATCAGTTGCACAAGTGCGCCCCATTTATTTAAGAGTACATGATCTGGGATCTCGGAATACGCTATCTTCTTTGGTATAGAGCCTAGAATTCAGGCAAGTGCTTAAATCATTGATCTCTGAGAAGGTCTTGCCTCTGGGCTGTCTCTGATGGATGTTCAGAGGTCTACAGGTGGTAGTCAGAGGCACACAGGTGTCTCTGCTGCCCTGACCCAGTGACCAGAATGAAGCTGGGAGCTGTTGAAGGCTGTTTACTGGCAGAGTTTCTCAAACCATGGCCACAACCCCTGAGAATGAACACCATGACCAGGATAACAAAATGTGAGAGAAACCAGCCTGAAGCCAGCAGTGATCAACATGCTGAGGTAGGAAGAGTGAAAGAGGCTGGAACACACTTTCCCTTCAGAGATGAAGGGTTATAGGACACATGGTCCTGCTGCAGCCACCGACACTGAGGTCCTCACTCACGTCACTCATGCTGGTCCCTCCTGTAAGGGTATGTGGAAGATCAAAGATCAGTGTCTTCTCTTCTCCTTTAAAGGTATCTGGTCAAGGACCTTTTCAATGCAAAAAAAAAAAAAAATTAAAAAAAAAAGGTAATAATAATAATAACAATAGGAGGAAGCCAAGCCATAAACAAGAACATGCAGGGAAACAAACCTGACCAACAAATGATACGGGAGACAGTGATTCAAACCAAACCTGGTCAGTCACACTGATTGATGAGGACGTGTTATTCAAGTCCTGTATATAGGTGCTGTAAATGGCAGCACCTTGTTTGATGGCAGCACCTTGTTTGATGGCAGCACCTTGTCTACCAGTGTCCTTTTATGTCTCTGTATGTGTGTGTCTGGGACATGTGCTCAGGTTTGCCACCAGTTGAACCTGCAGATGAAAAAGGGGCACCTGCACCCCTCATCCTGGGCAGAGATCCCTGTCATGGAGCACCAGGCTGGGCTGAAGCAGCCTGGCAGGAGGGTTCTGGGAGGAGGCTGCTGGAGATGGCGGCCACTCCTGACATACTTTAACAGTTTCGTAATTGGCAGGATCTGGTTGAGCTGTCAGTATTCCTGAGAGTATGCCCATATAATCCTTATGTGAAGGGGGACGGATCCTTTGTTAATACGCACAAAGTGATGAAGTTGTA